TTTAGTTAACTTTGAGCGAACAAGAAGTAAGACATCGACCACCAAGGAAACATGTTGCATTTCTTGGGACTAGTAAATACTGCTCGCCAAACATGCACAAAAAATTAGATCAGGGCAGAAGGGATGACCTCTGGGCGTGGCTTTATATGACAGTAGAGTTTATGGCAGTGAGTCTAGATATTTGAAAGGTTACTGTATCTTATTGAACCGAGAATATTTCTGCAGGGCAAATTGATATGGAGAAATGATGAGGACAAAGTGATTGAAAAGAAGAAGGAAAAAATCGGATCTCGTCTACTGCTGAAGTGCCCTCAAGAAATGTACATGATTTATGACCACATTCGACATCTTGAATTCAAATCGAAACCAAATTATGAAATGATACGAAGACAACTAGATAAAGTGCTATTTTTATTTAATTCCAATGTTACAGTAACAGAAGTAGTAACTTTAGGTTTGTGCGCGGCTGGACTACTCAGAAAGTCAGCCGTATGACTGGGAAGAAGGTGGTTACTATCACGAATATTACACCAAAAAATCAGATACTGAAAAGGATCTCACTGAGACAAACCAGTAAGTAGTCTTTTGCTCGAATTTATCATGAAGTCACTTTCTAGAGAAATATTATATTTCGCAAAGTTTCAGATCCGCAGCTGAAGTAGTGACGTGTGAGGAAGGAGCATTTATAGAAAGCGAAGCTAGCGGATGAAACAGTCAAGAAGCATTCCTAGATCACACCATCTATCTTGACTTCCTATTAAACGCTTTCGCCGATTGTTTTTCTTTCAAAGAATGTCTTCGAGATTTAAAGTTGTACCAGCAACTAAACAAAACGACGAGTCATAAGTGATTGCGGTGAGATCGCTCTCTGAGGTTTAACCTACTAATCGTGGATGTGAAAGCGTTTTCTGGAAATGTATACTCTCGATAATTGATGATTGTTTTAAGTTTCTTCTCTCAAGGGCACGAGGTCATCACAGGGTAGCCCACATGAAGTGTGATGCATATAAGCATCTATAACTTGCAAAAAAAACGAATTCGCAAGCGTTTGCCTTTGATAGGGAAGTTTTGCGTGAGACCTCATAAATAACTTTCAATATGTCTGCATGTGGCTTCAGTACAAGCATTTTTTCTGAGAAATTTTCAAGATGCGCGCTTTGATTTCGGCGAGATGTCCCAGGCTTCCAATATTTCCGTCTTTAACGAAGCAGTAAAATAAGTTTAGGAGAGCAGGTTTTTTCCAATAATACCCGTAGTTTCGTAGTGACTCCTGCCACCCTAGCTGTCAAACTGACCTAGACATTACGATCATTGATGGATCCGTCAGCCTTCTGTATATTTTCTTTGAAAGCGATTACTTTGAATTTCTTCCACAGATTGGCAACTGAAAAAATACCA